TACTAAAAATATAAAAGCTAGCTGGGCATAGTGGCATGTGCCTATAGTCTCCTAGCTACTCAGGAGGCTGAGGCAAGAAGATTGCTCAAGCTCAAAAGTTTGAGGTTACCATGAGCTATGACACCACGGCACTCTACCCAGGGCAACAGAGTATGAGACTGTTTCAAAAAACCAAACCAAACCAAACCAAACCACCACCACCAACAACAACAACAAAGGAAATTTATGTGGGAAGACAAATTGTACAGAAGGTTGCTTGGTGAGCTCTCAGTGGGACGGCTGTGTGTATGAGGGGGCTGCTTATCTTCAGGTTAGTACTGAGCTGAGGCTGTTTCACCACTTCAGGGACATACATGACTCTGGGCTGGCAGCACGCAGGTTGCTGGGCAGTACAGAATCCCAGGCGGTGCTGATGACAGAAAGACTTAACTTTTTCTTTGGGCTCTTTTTGAAACTCTTTGGTGAGCACATGAGAATCCTTTCTTCCTTCAGATAGGACACGATGTAACTGGCAAGGCTGCTGGTGTCTCTGAGACTGGTGTCCTGAGAATCTATTTGGTCACCAGGATAAGCACTTGGGTGTTCCCACAGTTCCTCGGCCACCGTTTATAGGTTTTAGCTTAGGGGTAGCTGGTGTACTCACTGCAGAATAATTTTTAATAATTTCATTTTTAGAGGAAAACTTAATGTTTTGGCAATTCTTTGTTCCTGAAGTGTAGATTAAAATTAATAAGCAAAATCCTTGATTACTTTGGCATAGATTCCCAACAGCAAAACAGTGCTTGGCTGAAGATGAGAATTACCCCAGGTGCTAAGTGAGTAAATGCTTTCCCGTGTGCCACTCCACGTGGTGTGTTGGGAGATCTGCATAGACCCATCCTCCCTCCTGGTTGCCGGCCTGCCCTGGGCCTTCTCCCTGAGCTCAGCTGTCTCCAATTCTTTGGTGCAGCCCCCCCTCCCCACCTGCAACTCCCCACCCCGCCTGAGCCACTATAAACAGTCCTCAGATCAGAGCACTGGGGATGTTTCTAGGGGTTGTAATTGGTGGAATCTGACCCACAGATCTCTTTTTTTTTGCCAATATGTTGTTTTTAAGTTTCACTTAGTTGCCTAAGTTTAAAAAACTTAAAAAATCAAGAGATTCAAACTCTGAATATCCAGTTTCTTTGCATAAAGTGGATCTGGCTGTGCAGAGCCTGCATTCCCACAGGGCAGTGAACTTGTGGGAGGGGCCTAGATAGGGCACACCCCTTCCCCCATCCTCAGTCCCCACCCTTCCTTTTCCTTCCCCGTGTGACTGCTTGGTTGGGGTGGGGGGAGGTGATTCTTGGTTAGAAATAAAAAAACAAAATAAAACACAACAGAAAAGAAAAGAAGCATAAGGGAAGCAGTGGCTTCTTGTGGACCCTTGCCCCCTGTTTATGTCCTTGCTGTCGGCGGGGGATTCTTCCTTGGAACCTGCTTCCAGCCTCTTTTCCTTTAGGACTCTGTTTCTCTTAGTAGGTCCCCTCTGGTTTTATCAATTGTGCTTCCAAGAGGTGTGGGGTGGAGTGTTGTTAAGGAAAACATATAGAAGTTGGAATGTGGTCTGTATCCACAAGACCTGATTTTAAGTCCCAGCCTCACTTCTTACTGAGTTCAAGCCCCTTATTTGCAAAACATGCCTTGCAGGTTGCTATGTATTAAATGGGAGTTTGTACATAAAGCATCAAGCAGAGGGTAGGTCCTTAAATAATAGCGCCTCTGTCTCTCTCTTCCCTTAAGACATGATTCTTTCCCTTTTTTGTGACCTTGAGAAGGTCAGCTGCAAGAAAACTGCTGCTTTCTTTCGAGACAGAGTCTCAAGCTATTGCCCTGGATAGAGTGCCGTGGTGTCATAGCTCACAGCACCCTCCACCTCTTGGGCTCAAGCCGTCCTCTTGCCTCAGTTTTTCTATTTTTACTAGAGTTGGGGGTCTAGCTTTTGCTTAGGCTGGTCTCGAACTTGTGACCTCAAGCTATCCACCCGCCGTGGCCTCCCAGAGTGCTCAGATCTGCTGCTTTGTTGTCACTCACCCTTCTTTACCCTTCTAATATGGCCCATGGTTCCATTTTTCTTCCTTGTAACTTTCAGTCTTTCCCAAGTGCACCTTTCGCTTATCCCCTTTCCTGTTTGTCGTCGGAACTGTCTCGTACAGACTCCCACGTGAGAATAATGGATGTGGGTGGATTTATTTTATTTTGGGAAATTCTATAAGGAGGCAAATGTTTTATCAAATCTCTACACTAATGATCTCTACTTTTGTGATAAGAACCAAGTGAGCTTTCACAGCATCTGTTTGGCTTCTTCCTGAATATATGTACCTTTCCCCACTCCTTGTGTGTTTATAGAAATACAGCCGAGGTCAAAAGCTGGAAAGTCATTAGCAGAACAGTTGCCAGAAGGAGAAAACCTTCCTAGGAAATCTCTTCGCCTCAGGTCAAAAGGAACTGCCATCATAGAAGAAATGGTATGTTACGTTCATTTACTTCCTGTTCTGCTTGGAAATGTTTAGATATTTTTGTTTACTAGAGGTGGAAATAAAGGTAAAATCACAATGTTAAATAAAATGCCATTCATTCTAATCAAAACATGGACTTATAGTTCATTGTTTATCTAAACCATATGGAAATTACTGAAGGTGTTTGAGGAGGAAACATAGGAACTAAGTGTGGGAGAAGAGACCGTGACCTACAGAAATTCTCAGCTGCCTGCAGATGGCTTTTCTAGAACCTGTAGCCATCTGGATTGTGTACAAAGCTGAGAAGAAATTGGCTCAGAGCCACATGTATGAGTAGAGATACTTAAGGAGCGTTTGAGAATGAGAGACTCCATGTGTGAACGCTCTTCTCAGGTGAAACTTTCTGCACATGTCTTTGGTCTTTCTTGCCCACACCCTCCATCAGCAGATCCCGGGCGATCTCCCTGAAAAGAGGCCAGAATCCAACGACACTCACCCCCTCTGCCCCACCACGTGCCCAGGCACCGTCGTCTCCCCTGGACATGGCAGTGACCTCCTGTTTGGTCTCCTGGGGCTCCTCCTTGCCCTTTTTCCACCCGTGCTCAGCAGCAGCCAGAATCCTCCTTTCACAATACAGGGGAGATTATGTCACTTTCCTGGTCACAGCCCTGGGTGGCTTCCTCTGTCTTTCAGAATAAAAGCTGAAGTCCGCAGAGTGACCAACATGATCTGACCCCTCATTTCTTCTCTGGTCTCACTTCCCAGCCCTCTGGCCTGGCTTCCCCTGCTCTGGTCTCCTCACTGTCCCCAGCTGCTGCAGTCATATCCCCACCCAGGGTCTCTGCCCCGGCTGTCTTCTCAACCTGAGTGCTTCCCTCACTCCTCTGTGTGGGCTGCTCCGTGGCCTTTGTCAGGTTTCTGCCCACGAGTCACCTGCCTCCCAGGCCTTTTCTGAGTGTCCTGTGTGAGCAGTGATTCCTCTGTCCCTCCCACTGCCTGCTCTCCTGTGATCTTTGTTTTCTTCAAAGCACTAAACACCACAGGACTCTGAGATCCTTATTGGTTTAGCTTTGCTTCTGTCTCCTGCCCCTTTGCTCACAGGTCCTGCTCACTGCTGTATCCCCAGCCCCTACAGTAGGACCTGATATGTTAAAGGAACTCAGATCATAGCTTAATTAATCAATGGATGAAGGATTCACTTTAGCCTGAGAAAAGCAAAGGTTTAATGATGGACTGACTGTGTGTTCTTTTTTTTTTTTTTTGAGATAGAGTCTCACTCTGTCATTCTGGCAGCTATCTGAGCACTGAAATACTGGTGGCCATTTGTGTGTGAGGACACTGACACTCATGGCAGCACTTACAGTATGGCTGGACAGATACAGAGGTTAATACCTACGTTCCTTCACAGCCTGCTGCTCTGCATGGACAGTTCAAAATAACCGTAATGAAGGCCAGAGCAGTCTGTTGCCTCTGTTACTGTTTTTAAGGCTGGGTTAGTATAAATAAAAATGTGAGAAAGCCGTACTAATATCCTCAAGAAAATACGTATTATTTGCTATAAAATGCTTGATTTTAATAAATTTTGAGACTACAAAGCAACATACACTCATAACAGTATTAATAGAATGTGAAATTCTTATAATCGAATTAATCATGAATTCTACATTTTGAATAGTTGAATGTTTAACATCTTTGGGCAATTCCTTTTTAGCTACGAAGTCATATAAAACCAAGTTTTGAAATAAACTGAACTTCAGAACCAGAATTTACCAAATACCAAACCAAAATTTTAAAAGAATAGTAAAACTTAGGTAATCATGTTTTTGACCAAAACTTTCAATAATAGTTTTAGGAAGAACAAACATGTTTTGCTGCCACTGGCCATGCGCAGTGGTACATGCCTGAAATCCTAGCAAGGAGGCTGGGGCAGGTGGATTGCTGAGCTCAGGAGCTAGAGACCAGCCTGAGCAAGAGTGAGATTCTGGCTCTACTAAAAATAGAAAAATCACCTAGGTGTGGTGGTGCAGGCATGTAGTCCCACTACTCGACAAGCTGAGGCAAGAGGATTGCTTTAGCCCAGGAGTTTGAGGTTTGCTAGGTTACTGTGAACTGTGAAGCCACAGCACTCTAGTCTGGGAAACAGAGTGAGACTTTGTCTCAAAAAAAAAAAAAATTTTTTTTTTGTGCCATTAATACATGACACAAAAAGTATTTAAAAAATACTATTTCAGGCCGGGTATGGTAGCTCACACCTGTAAACTCAGCTCTTTAAGAGGCTGAGGTGGAGGGTTTCTTAAGGGTGGGAATTTGAGACTAGTCTGGGGCAACATAGTGTGACCCCAATCTCTCTCTCTCTCTACTTTTTTTTTTTTTGAGACAGAGTCTCAAGCTGTTACCTTGGGTAGAGTGCCTTGGTGTCATAGCTCACAGCAACCTTCAACTCTTGGGCTCAAGAGATCCTCTTGCCTCAGTTTTTCTATTTTTAGTAGATACAGGGTCTCACTTTTGCTCAGGCTGGTCTCGAACTCGTGAGCTCAAGCAATCCACCCATCTCGGCCTCCCAGAGTGCTCCCTGGTGTGAGCCCCCAGGCCTGGCTGTGTGACCCCAAGCTCTACCAAAAAAAAAAAATTATTTATCCTCCTAAAATTTCCTTTTTAAGTTTTCTTTTTTAAAACAATAATGTATACAATATGTCAGTATGGTGATACATGTGTATAATTTATAAAGAAGATAATACAATTAACTAAAACAAAGAATTAGGATTATGTTCTAAAACGTTTAAATATTAGGGAAGCCATTCAAAGTTTGGACATACTAGGCTGCATAGTAAAGACCACAGTCCTCTTCACGGCACAAAGGGCCCCTTCAGATGCAGTCACATTTGTCACTGTGTCCTCCAGCCACCTGGCCCTTCTCACAGTCCCTCTGACATGTGTCCCCTTCTCTCAGACTCTGGGACCTCACATAGACTTTGCCTCCCTATTGCCTCCTACTGAAGTGCCCTCTCCAGCTTAGCTCCTGTTCATCTTTGAAAACCCAGTTGCTAAGTCCCCTTCTCTCTGAAATCTTCCTGACAACTAGAGATATGAACTTGCTTCCTGCCTGTGATGCTTCTGGACCTTTTGTCCTTTCACAATTGCTACATGATTATTTATTTTCATGTCTGTCTTCACTTCCAGATTGTTGGCTCCTTGAGGACCGTGTTCCTGGCTTTTCTGTTTGAGTCCATAATACTTAACACTGATACTAAATATAAGTATTTACTGTATTGTTTTGTATTTAGTTACAGAGCACATTCTAGAAGATCTATTTCCACTAAAATTTGGTGAAGGACACAGCTGAGCTGAACTCGCTGCCCATCAGGCTTCCCCCTCTGAACGCCCCAACAATCAGAGATGTCAATATAAAAACATAATATGCTGTTTCTTTCTTCTTTGATAAAGCCTTCTGGAGCCGAAGCAAAGGCAATTGAAAGGATTGATGACCTTCTTGAATTGTACATGGGAATTCAAGATGCTGACTTAGGTAAGATTATACTATTTTGAAAAGTCTTAAATCTCTTACTTTGATGGAATTTAATGATTACTTATGACTTGTTTTCACTTAAAAGCAATTCTATGCTTTTCAAGACAAAAACTATTTGTGGAGTAATGAAAGAATAATGAATGTGAAGATGATGAAGAATAAAAGAGACCCGGCCCTTATCACTCACTAGCTATGAGGTCTTAGCTCCAACTCAACTTTAGCAAATTTTGGTTCATTCTTATTTTTATTTGGTTAGTTCTTGATCTACATGATTAAAAGAAATGTAGTTTAAAGATCTTAATTGGCTTTTATTTGCAATTCTAGAATCAGAATTGCAAACTGTGAATAAGATATCTCTTTCAGTCTTGTTTTATGGATTTAAAAAATATATATGTGAAAATAATTTTATAAATGATAAAATGATTTAATAATTTTATAAATGATAAAATGATAAAATGATAAATGAAAGCATTATTATTATTTGATATGTCCAATTTATACTTACTAAGTTGTGTATTTCTTATGATATTAAAACCATGTGCCATTTAACAGGGCTGCTGAACCCCTTTTAGACAATGAATCAGAAATATGAGTAAAAAGGACGCACTTGGCATATGACTGATGAGGGGCATTTAAGCAAGTGAATTTCTGTGTATTATGTCATCATTAGGATGCCAGGGTCATGGTTTATCTGTGAATATTCTGTTGGTTCAAATGACAATAACAAAAATGAAAATGAAAAAAACCCCCTTAATTCCAACAGGTTCAAGGAAAAAGGAGAAAAGTATTGGTTCTTTTACTGAAAAGTCCTGGGATAGATCCTGGTGTAGACAGTGGCTGGATCCAGAGCTCTCATGCTGTCAGCAGTTGTGGTCTCTCTTCTCTCAATTCTGGCTTCATTTTAGGCCCTCCTGGCCCCCTTGGTCACTGTGCTCTCTCTCACAGAGCCGGGATTACTGCCATGGCTCCACCTCTGCGTCCTCTTGGCTTCACGCATTCTGGGAGAGAGAGGGGGGCCTCTTTCAAGTCATTCACATCAAATGCCCAGTATTGGGTCTGAGTTTTCTGGTTGTCTGAAGTGAGCCAACCACTGAGGCCAGGAGGATGGTTGGGTCTGGGTCAAACACCTTTCCTCTGTGCCTGAGAGTAAGCCTGAAATACAAGGGTCAAGGGTGAGGAAGGCCTGGCCCTTCCCACGCAGACGCAAGACACACATTCCCTTAAGAAGGGCAGTGGGGTGCTGGGTGGGGAAAGGGTAAACGTGCATCCTGGGGAGGGGTTTGTGGCTGCATCCATGTGTGGGTGTGTGTTTGAATCTGGTACTTAATATATTTTTTAAAGTCAAGGACTTGACTGTTCTGTTTCCCCGCCACTAGATAGAACATGAGAAACTGAGTCATCCTTCTCTTTTCTATTTACACATATCTTCCACTTTCCTTGTGTGTTTTTTTTTTGAGACAGAGTGTCACTATGTTGTCCTCGGTACAATGCTGTGGTATTACAGCTCACAGCAACCTTAAACTCTTGGGCTTAAGCGATTCTCTTGCCTCAGCCTCCCAAGTATCTGGGACTATAGGCACCTGCCAGAACACTTGGCTATTTTTTTGTTGCAGTTGTCAGTGTTGTCTAGCTGGCCTGGGCTGGGTTTGAACCCCCTAGCCTTGGTGTATGTGGCCAGCACTGTAACCACTGTGCTATGGGTGCAGAGCCTCCATTTTTTAGTTTTGTTTAACTTGCTTTTAAGTCAAATCTTAATTATGAAGCCTTTGCCTAGGTCAATATTTTTTTTCTACATTTTCTTCTAGAATTTTATTTTATTTTTATTTATTTTTCTTGTTTGGGATTCATTGAGGGTACAAAGAATTAGGTTATACTGAATGCATTTGTTAGATAATGCCCCTCTTATAATTGAGTCCCACCCTCAAGAGATGTGCCATATACTGTGACCTCCATCCCCTCCCACCTCCCCTCTCCCCACTCCCGCATTCTCCTACCCCACCCCTTGTATTAGCTCATCTACTGCTTTCATTTTATAAGTGAGTACACTGGATTCTTGCTTCTCCATTCTTGTGATGATTTACTAAGAAGAATGTGTTCCACCTCCACCCAGGTTAATACAAAAGATGTAAAGTGTCCATCTCCTTTAGTGGCTGAATAGTAATCCATGGTATATATATATCACAGCTTATTAATCCATTCCTGGGTTGGTGGGAATTTAGGTTGTTTCCACAATTTGGCAACTGTAAATTGAGCTGCAGTAAACAGTCTAGTGCAAATGTGATTATGATAAAGTGATTTTTTTTTCTTCTGGGTAGATGCCTAGTAATGGGATTGCAGGATCAAATGGGAGGTCTAATTTGAGTTCTTTGAGGATTCTCCATATTTCCTTCCAAAAGAGTTGTATTAGTTTGTAGTCCCACCAGCTTGTCTAGCATTTTAATAATTTTAGGTCTTACATGTATTTTCCCCCCGTATCCCTCCAATTTTCCACTTTTTTGTAGAGATAGGGTCTCACTCTTTCACCTAGGCCTGAGTGAAGTGGTGTGATCATAGCTCACTGCAAAGTGATCCTTCTGCCTCAGCCTCCTGACGAGTGGGGAATAAAGGCACATACTACCATACCAGGCTAATATTTAAATATTTTATTAGAGATGGGGTCTTGCTATGTGGCCCAGGATAGTCTTGAGCTCCTGTCCTGAAGCAATCCTCATGCCCCAGCCTCCACAGTTACTGGGATTACAGGTGTGAGACATAGTGCCTGGCCACGTTTAAGTCTTTAATCTATCTTTAGTTAATTTTTGTATATGGTCAGAGATAGGAGTCCAGTTTCATTCTTCTGCAGATGGCTATCTGGTTTCCCAGCACCATTTATGGAATAGAGTGTCCTTTCCCCGGTTTGTTTTTGTTGAAGATCAGTTGGCTGTCGGTCAGTGGCTTCATTTTTGGGCTCTCCATTCTGTTGCATTGATACATATACCTATTTCCATTGTTACACCAGTACCTTGCTGTTTTGGTTACTATTGCCTTGTAGTATAGTTTGAAGTTGGGTAATGTGATGCCTCCAGCTTTGTTCTCTTCATGTAGGATTCCTTTGGCTATTTGTGCTATATTTTGGTTCCATATGAACTTTACAATTTGCTTTTTCTAATTCTGTGAAAAGTAATTGGTATTTTGATACGAATTACATTGAATCTGTAGATTACTTTGAATAGTGTGGTCATTTAATGATATTGATCCAGTCCATGAGCATGGCATGTTTCTCATGTGATGTTTATATCATCAATAATTTTTTTTTCTAGTCAGTGTTTTCAGTGTTTTGTAGTTCTGTAGTTTTCTTTGCTTCATTATTTATTTTTTTTTTCTTGAGACAGGGTCTTACTTTGTCATCCTGGGTTGAGTGCCATGGTGTCATAGTTCACAGCAACCTCAAACTCTTGGGGTTAAGTGATCCTCTTGTCTAAGCCTCCCACGTACTCTACCCAGGGTGACAAAGTGAGACTGTCACAAAATAAAAATAAAAATAAGTAATGAAAATGGAAGGATAAGCAAAATTTTGAACTTGCGTCCTGCTGTAGCAGAGCTTACACTTTACATCCTCCTTTTATATCCTGGCTCTGGGACCAGAGTTGTAGACTTGACTTTCCCCAGTGTTTATGGACCACGCGAGGTTCCATCATTTTGGGGGGGGATCTGGTGGAGGGTAGACTAGTGACTACAGAGAGGTGGGGGCAGTCGTCTGTTTGTGGCATCAGCCACAAGGTTTTCTTTCACCCACGGGACTCCAGAGTCTCTCAACTGAAGGGCTCCAAGGTTGAGTAGAGGGCAGGGGTGGCAGCTGCAATCCTGAGTGCAATGGACAGATTGTTGAAAAATATCTCTGCTACCCTGATAGGTGAGGGGGTGTCTTACTCTTTTAATTTGTGCTGGAAATATATGCTACCCATGCATGTTACCTTTGGAAAGGAATTTTCCTGGGGCCATTTTCTCAGTCCTCTGATGCCATCTCCATTCACCATTATTTTTCTAAAATTATTTTTGACAGCTACTGAAATATTTGAAGCTGGAAAGGACAAAGATACTTCAGAGGAACTTGTTAAGGCACTCAAAGAAGTTCTTGAAGACTTTATATTCCCAGAAGAAGTTGTCCCTGATGTTTGGAAAGCCATTCGTGATGCCAGAAGGATAAATGGCCCTCTCTAAAGAAATGAACCATTCTTTTTATTTTTAAAAAGCCCCATGAGATCTACTTTTGGATGCAATAATTAGTACAATTAAACTCTGATTTAATTATATGTGTATGGAATTCATTGTTTGAAATGTAATTTTTTCTGGGTACTTTTTAATGGAGTTCTTAAGTAGTATTCATTTTTTTATTTTCATTTTTTAATTAAGTCAAATACACATAGATCATGAATACATTTATGTGTATGTGGGGTACAATGTGTTAATTTTTTAAATACAATCTGATGTGATTACATCAAACCAATCAACATAGCTTTTACCTCATTTACTTGATCAAAGTGGTATTCTTAAAATAAATTACCTAAAATATGAGCAATTTTAATATTCATTCAGAAGATTTTTAGAAGTTTTAAGAAGTATGTCTAGTGATGACTTTGTTCCCCACTAACTCCCATGTTTTGTTTTCCACATATGAGTAGTTCTTTTGCAAAATCTCCGTGTAATGAGTATTAGAATTGGAATGGTGATTCACTTCATGGCATCTTCATTGTTTTACTGGTTTGAACAGGACATGTTCAGGAGACAAAGGGTGAGCTGTGCCTCCCACAGGTCCAGAAGCCTTGTTTCTATCCCCTGAGTAAGGAGAGGAAGATTCTTACTGTCTGTTGATTTCTGTGGCCCATGTTCTCTCTTTGTAAAATAAAGATTGAGTGATTTTCTTTGCTTCTTTGTGATTGCTCTTCAAACTTGTGGTTGAGGGTGGCATCTGTGGCTCAGTGGGTAGGGCGCCGGCCCCGTATAATGAGGGTGGAAGGTTCAAACCCGGCCCCTACCAAAGTGCAACAAAAAATAGCTGGGCGTTATGGCAGGCACCTGTAGTCCTAGCTACTCAGGAGGCTGAGACGTGAGAATCGCCTAAGCCCAGGAGTTGGAGCTGTGTGACGCCATGGCGCTCTACTGAGGACGACAAAGTGAGACTCTGTCTCTACAAAAGCAAACAAACAAACAAACAAAACCTTGTGTTTGAAATCGACTGAGGGGTGTGTGTGTGTGTGTGTGTGTGTGTGAGACTGAGTGAGATAAGGCTGAAAAAGAGGCAGATCGGGTAGAACCACTTGCATTTGATGTTTTTTTTTTTTTTTTTGGACAGGAAGAAAACATTCAAGAGGTTTATTATACACCACAGTGGTTATAGTTAACAATATATTGAATACTTGAAAATTGAATATTTCTTTTTTTTTTTTTTATTGAATGGTAACTGTGTACATTGATGCACTTTGGGGGTACAGTGTGGTGTTTTCATACACAATCCAAGACACTTCCACATTTGATGTTTTTTTTAGGGTGGGTTCCTAAAAGATTATTTCCTTTCTCACTCATAGCTGCTTTTGTCTTACCTTTTATAAACACTCCAGGGGATGTTTTATGTTCTTTATAGAATTTTTCTTTTGAAAGATATCCACTCAAAATAACTGTGTTTGAGAAAAGTTTTTGGGGGCTAAGCAGCAGCCTTTTTCTGCCCCCCAATCTTTAGAGGAGACACCATCAGGAGCAGATCACCTCCTGCTGGGAATAAAGGCACAGGGGAGAACTGAGAGAATGTATTAGCCTATGATTTTAGAGTTCTAGTACATTCCCCCTGAACCTTACGTGACTGAGAAAAGTGGGGGTAAATGACTGTGTCATCACTCTTCTGTGACGTTTTACAGATGTAAGAGAAATGGAAATGAAAGGTTTTAACAGAGATCATTAAATAAGGCAGAATGTGGTGTGAACACACCTTCTTCTCAGGGTTAGATGAAAAATGCTGTGTGCTGCCGTGGCAATTAGAATCACCTGTCAGGGGACATATTCTAGGAAATCAGAAGCAGTTCCCCTTCATGCTGGGTTATGGTTTAGGTAACTGTTGTTTTCTGGGAAAAGTTTAATTTTACTGCCACCCACTCCCCTTTTGCTTAAATTTAATGCCACAAAGCTAATATTCTTTGTCTGATTAATCTGAAATCTGCACAGAAGCTGTTTTAGTCCTTCATGTGTAACGAAAGTAGCCTGTAGAATACAGATTGTCCCACTGGTCTTGCTCCTCATTTGAGCATGGAATCCAGCTCAGGTTGGAATTTGTTGGTGCTGGTTTAGTGGATTTCTTTTGGAGGTTTCAAAATACTTATTCTCAGTACCAGCTCTCTTAGAAAGACATAAAAAGGGGATGATATTTTAGGGACAGAAAAGTTATTGGATGACTTGGAAGGTCCATAGAAACAGTTTAAACAACAACAAAATAATTTTCTTGGTACTGGACATTAGATTTGAAGTGAGACATCATTTATATCATTTATTATTGATGGATGTCAGTTTCATCTTTTCTGGGTGTGCATGAAGACTGAAATGTGGTGGTGACTTACTGATTTATGGAATGATATCTTCACAATTTGTTTTTGTGTATAAGGTACCAAAATCCATGCATTCAGTGGGCCACTGTCACTACCAAGGGCTTCAGCAGGGCCTGGGTGCAATAGGTTTTTCCTTGAAATGTCCTTATCTCTCACCGCTACTGCTAAGCTAATGCTAAGGTCAGTTTCTTTATGTCATTTTGTTCCCACACCTGAAAATGTATCTATTTGTGAACTTTGTGTCTTTTTGTTACTCTCATTTCACGAAAATCATCTGTTTTTAGCATAATCTGTCAGTGTGGGCTCCCATTCTGCTACTGTGAGACACACCATGTTTTTAAACATTCCATTTCATCAGCACTGTTAGATGCTGTCAGGATTCTGTCCTTTTTCATTGTTCTCTAGTTATTTTTTCAGTGGGGGATGATTAATTTATTTGGTTTTGACCTCCTTCCAATGGAAACAGCACCCTCTTTCAGCAGCGACCACTAAGAGCACACACAATGTATGCCTTTCGATTGTGGTAGGGAACGCAGATGATAATTGAGCAGTGAGTTTATGGACAGAGCTGAGTCCTGATCAGATGTACACATTCTGAGAATTACAAATAGGCACATTGGGGGTTTCTGTGGGGTTTTAAAAATACAATTATATACTTTTA